TAGCCACTACCCAAAGTAGTAAACGCTGGAGCAGGGGTATGGCCCCTTTACGACCTGTGGACTATCCTAGCTCAGGAATTCTGGGAGTTGTAGTCCACAGACTGTAAAGGGCCATAGCTGCCCGCCCCTTACTCTGGAGTGCCCCCTGTTGAAAACAGTGACCCGTTCCGTGCCCGAATTGGCCTGACTGGACGTCTTCGAGTGCACAACCTTTAGTTTCAAGGAGTCAAATGGGGCTGAGGTCATCATCACCACACAGGCCTGGATGGATGACAGTTGAGGAGGGTGCCATTCAGTGGGGCTGGGAGAGCGGGGGGGGGGGAGACTGAGGGCGTGCCCTTTGAGCTGGCCTGTTTTTCTGCTGATCCAAAGGCAGTTGGGGGCTGAATTGGCAGCCGCCAGGAATTGCTCCTAAGCAAATGCCCCCCCCCGGGCCATTTGGGACGGGATGCTCCTATCCAGAAGGGAGAGGAAGGCAACTGGCAGGGGCAGGCCTGTTTCTCTCCTAGCCCAGGGAGGCTACGCCCTTTGGCGTATTCACAGTTGAAGCACTGGCATCCAGTGGGTGGCATAGGATCTGGTAGCCTTGTGGGGAGAGTAGAGATCTTCAGGGCAAGGCCCTGCCAAAGCAGATGCCAGCTGGAAGGAGCCCGCCCCTTTCTATTCTATTCTTCATTCCTTCTATTCTACATTCTATGCCAGTGGTGGCGAACCTATGCCACGGGTGCCAGAGGCGGCACTCAGATCCTTCTCTGTGGGCACGCGCGCCGTCGCCCCAGTCCTAGGCCTTCAGCTGGGTTTTATAAAACCTTTTCGCTTTAGGCCTCCGCCGCCGTGTGCAAAAAAAAAAAAAGGTTCAATCAATCAGTCAATCAATCTTGCAAAGTTGGAATTGATTGATTGAACTTTTTAGTCCCACCCAGTCTGCCGTTACCACCGCAGCCACGCCCACCCAATGGGCCACACCCACCCGGCACCCGACAATGCATGTGGGTTTTGGGTTGCAGTTTGGGCACTCGGTCTCTAAAAGGTTCGCCATCACTGTGATTCTATTCTATTCTATTCTACTCTATTCTATTTCTATTCCATTCCATTCTGCATTCTATTCTAGTTTTATTCTAGTTCTAGTTCTGTTCTATTCCTTATTCTATTCTATTCTCTTCTCTACTCTATTCTCATTCTACAATGACTCTTGCGGAAGCAGGATGACGCTTCCCCAGGATGACCCACATTTCCTTGGGGGCAATCTGTAGCGATGTGGGGCCAGGCAGAACCCAGAGTGCTCAGTCCACTTTCCCCCCCTCCTCCTCGTTCTCTCCTCCTCTGCCTCCCAGCTTGGCTGAACTGAGGGCTTCTGAGGACCCCCTTGCAAGGAGACGGAGGGCCAGTGGCTGCCCCCCTCCACCTGGGACACGGGGGCCACGTGCCACTGGCCTCCAGGCATAGCAAGCTTACCCCATTTAGTGGCAGAAGGACATCCACGAGGAACTCGGTCTTTCTTGGCCAGGGACAACGCCCCTAAAAAGGTGGTGGAACATGGGCCCCAAATTTGCCTTCTTTTTCTTTCGTCTCCCCTGATCCCTTTTTGGGGTCGTTGTATTGGGGGTCTGCATGCAGCCATTTTACCTTCTTCGGCTTGGTGGGAGCGCTTTTTTGAAGAGAAGGGAAAAATCTGACACTCCACTAGCTCAACCGAGAGCACTTCACACCTTAACAACTCCCTCTGTTAATATACACTCCACGGAAGATGTTAGACTCTTATCAAGTAACAGATGGGGGGGAGGAATCCTAATTGTGTATACACTGCTTGGAACAGGGGTGCAGAATTCACTAAAACATCCTCTGCCCCCCCCCTCCAATGCAGGGAGCCCTCTGCTGTGTCCAGGAAGCCCTTTTAACCACCCTTCATCCGAGGGGACTTGTCAAAAGATTCTTCAACATGAATCAATTTATTTTAAATTAATTAATTTTATAATTTAACCCACCAGCCCTTGGTGGCCTTCAGCTACAAATGGAGCTCTTTCCTTACTTGTATTAGCAGAACTTTCTCTATTTAAACTCCCAGAATTCCCCAGCCGGCATGCTTTAAGATGGATGGACTTCAATTCCCAGAATTCCCCAGCCAGCCTCCTTTAAGATGGGTGGACTTCAACTCCCAGAATCCCCCAGCCCATGCAAAGCTGAGATTTGGAGCAAACGAAAGTAACGCAGAGACTAGCAACCAGCGTGACAATTTTATTTTCTTTCCTTCGTTTTTTAATATATAAATACCCTCCCTTGAATTCCCCAGCATAAATATTTTTGCAAAGCAGTTTCATCTTGCTACACTAGACAATCTTGTGAAATATTTAAATCGGGGAGGGGAGGGGGAGGTGTTGAGCATCGGACCCAGAAGCCCCCCAACTGGGTTCCCCTCGTGCCCCACCGTGGTGCCGTTTCGGTTTTGGATTTTATTTTGTTTTATTAATTTATTTTTTGTTATGTCGCTGCTGTGTCCGTCGTCCTAATTTGTAAAACGGATTCACGCCAGCGTCGCAACTGGTCCAGCCAAGTCTTTGGGACGCTAACAGAAAACGGCGGCTTTTAACCAAGCCACAATTGGAAGCAGAAATGGGACACGTTGAGTGGTGCTGGGGGGGGGGGAGCAGGACGAATCCTAAAGGGGTCCAGAGCCATTGGGGGGAGGGGCTAACTTCAAATAGGTGGGTCAAATCCTTGCACGGCGGACGGGACTCTAATTCCCAGTTTGCTCAGCACTGTCAGAACAGAGGCACCTGGACGCAAAGCAAGGACCGTCCAGACGGGGCCGTGAGAGTTAAGGAGGCCTTAAGAGACTGGACGGCCACTTATCTGAATTGGTCTAGGGGTCTCCTGCTTGAGCAGGGGGCTGGACTAGAAGACCTCCAAGGTCCCTTCCGATTCTGACGCCAGCTTAGGTGGGGCACAGGGAATAAAAGCAGGGTGGGCACCAGAGCTGGTGGAGGGACTCAGGGCGTGGACCGTGAAGGGCCGCTGGGCGGCTGAAACGATGGAAGACCCTTGATTGGTTTTGCCATCAGCAATGCTAAATGCGGGGGAGGCTGACCCCCCCCCCGGCTCCCCCACCCCTTCCCGAGACTGGCCGACTCCCTTACTCAACGCTGGGGGTGGGGTGGGGCGAGACGGGCCTGGAGAAAGGAGGATTCGCCCTGGCCCAGGGGAGGTGCTGAGCGCAGGTACAACAAGCATAGAATGGGGGTTTGGCACGAGTTTAAACCATGGTCTACCCTGTGTTTGACCTGCGGGGAACCCTGGAGTTCCCGAGTCTTCCAGAACCCTGGAGGGACCCTGCGGGGAACCCTGGAGTTCCCGAGTCTTCCAGAACCCAAAAAGAGGGATCAAGGTTTTTTTGTCATGGGTAGAACGGCGTTTCTCAACTTTGGTTTAACTTTTAAGACGGGTGGACTTCAACTCCCAGAATTCCTCAGCAATGCTGGGGAATTCTGGGAGTTGAAGTCCACCCGTCTTAAAAGTTAACCGAAAGTTGAGAAACGCCGTTCCAGCATTAAAAACACAAAATTCCTGCTAAGGACAGAGAATTAGCTGAGCCACCTCAGTGTGCTTCAACAACCGCAGCATCCTCGCTGCCAAATTGTGAACTGCAACACACTTGTCCGACTTCTTTTAAAAACCAGATCCAACCCCAAACACACCTTATTTCCATTCAAACTTTCCACTTTTTTTGAGGGGGGGGGAGAATCCTGGGTTTTGGCAAACCCGCTCGTAAAAAGCGAAAAAGACTCGGCAATTTGCCCGTTTCCAGCCTAGCGAGTTAAGACCCACCCCCTCTAAAAGGGAAGGAACCTTGTGTGTGTGTGTGTGTTATTTATCCACCAACTGCTTCACACACACACCCCAACCCATTTTCTTTTCCGTCGTTTTTTGACACGTCGGGAAAAGGGTGTTTTGTGATTTTTGTGGCAGGCGGTGGAGAGTTGACTTGAGGATTTTAGTTTTGCCAAGAATGCCATTTTCACTTAGTGACTGTTCGCAACCTACAACGGATTTGAAAAAAAGCGACTTAGGACCGTTTTTCGTTGCAGAACGCCCCACGGTCGAATGATCTAAATTTGGACGCTTGGCAACTGACTCCTACTTATGACGGTGTCCCTGGGGGCACTTGGTCCCCTTTTGCGACCGTCCGACAAGCGAAGTCAAAGGGGGAAGTCGGATTCATTTAACAACCGGGTTCCTAATTTAACAACCGCCGTGATTCTCTTAACAAGTGTGGCAGGAAAGGTGGTGAAATGGGGCAAAATTCACTGTCTCGCTTAGCAACGGAAATTTTGGGCTCAATTTTGGTCGTAAGCCGAGGATTCCCTGTAAACTCCTACTCGAGATGATTCCTCCACTCTTATCCGCAGCTTTTCTTTCTTTCTTTCTTTCTTTCTTTCTTTCTTTCTTTCTTTCTTTCTTTCTTTCTTTCTCTCCGTCCGAGCTCTGGCAGACCGAGAACTCAGCACCACGTCGGGAGATCCACACGGCTTCAAACGTGGAAGGCCTTTAACTGGGGGTACCTCCAAAATCGGCACACACCCCCTTTTCCCAGGGGTCTTCTCAGAAGTGGAAGAAAACCCAGGGGTGGGTGGGTGCGGGGGACCCCCTGCCCTCCAGCAGCTTTTGGCCCAGAAGAGGAATCCCCCACACAGAAACCCCCCCAGCCCCTGCCCTGACCCCCCAAGACTGGTCCTGCGGCACCGTTTGCTCGGCATCCATGCTGCGGGGAGGAATGGGGCTTCCGGTGGGCTGCCGCTGTGCCGGCCTCCGATGCCCAGGCACCCCCGGCGTAGAGGCGAGGGGCTTCTCCCCCTGCCCTGAAAGAAAGCGTCCTTCCAGTGCCCCCCACCCCGGGGTCTCCGGATCATCCCCAGCAGGAGACCAGGCTGCCAGCGGTTGGCCCTGCCACCAGTTCGGCTTGGCCGGCACAAGGCACCAGTTCTCGGGGCTCAGCCCCTGCCCGCTCAGATGGCCGTGTCCCAGAGCACCGTCTGCTGGCGGCGGCAGGGCGGGGTGCCCGACTTGCGGTTCTCCGTGCTCCTCCGCCAGCTGGGCAGGATGGGCATGCTCTCCTGCTTGCAGAGGCTGCGCTCCGGGCGGTGCCGCGCCTTGATCTCCTTGCAGACGCACCGCTTGCGCTCGATCACCTCCAGCAGCTTCCCGTCCCTCTCCCGCGCGCTCTGCAGGGCCTCCGGGGTGGGCAGCGGGGGGGCGTACGGCAAGGCCTGCAAAAACAGGGCAGGGGGGGGTTAGGAGCCCGCTTGGCCGGCTCTGCCAGCCCCCCCCCGCGGCCTTTGCCCCTCTTCCTCGGCTTCAGACCTCGGAGAAGCCGGGCACAGGCGCCTCCCTCCCCCCCCCGGGAATCTGGCAGGTGGGCGAAAGGGATGGGTGGGAAGGAAGGCTGCGGGCACAAGCGGGCACTGCCCAGTTCTGAGACACACAAAAGCTCTGGGTGGGAGCGGGAACCAGCTTGGCCAGCAAAAGCTGCTTTCGGAAAGAAGGGCCTGCCCCCCCGAGACGTGGTCCTTCGGGCGAGGGCGGCCGGTGCCCCTTCCTTCAGCCTTCCCCCCCCCTCCCCGGGCACCACTTTAGTGGAGGGGAGGCCTGGATTGCTGCTCATCCGCCTGCGTCTCCCTGAGCCAGGTGGGCAGACCGGACGGGGGCCTGGAGCAAAGTCATTTCTCCTGAGGCCGAGTGTGGCAGAATTGAGGAGGGGGCTGCCTTCCCTCTCTCTGCCTGGTGTGTTTCCAGTAGACGGGGACACTTGTGGCTCAGGCTTCAGATCGGGGGTTCCTTGGTGCTCTCCGAATTTGGGGGAGGGGTTTGCAGACGTTTTATGACCCAAGGAGGTAACATCATCAATGCTAGAAGGGAGGAGGGGAGGGGGGAGGAGTGGGAGGGGAAGGGGGAAGAGGACGACAGTGGGGTCCTTGGTGGTCTCTGAGCTGGGTGGTTTTCGTGCAGACGTTATATGACCCAACTAGGGAACGCCATCAGTTCTGGAAAGGAGGGTTTGTGGAGAGGGAGGGGNGGGGTCCTTGGTGGTCTCTGAGCTGGGTGGTTTTCTTGCAGACATTTCATGACCCAACTAGGGAACGCCATCAGTTCTGGAAAGGAGGGTTTGTGGAGAGGAGGAAGGGGAGGGGGGAGGGGAGGGGGGGTCCCTGGTCTTTCAGAGATTGGTGGTTTCCTAGCAAACGTTTCATGACCGAGCTACAGAACATCATCAGTGCTAGATGACGCTCACCAATTACCATTAAACTAACGATGTTTCCTAGTTGGATAACAATCTAAGTGTTGGGAGATGTGGAAATTTAGATGCAACTTATTTTCATATTTGGTGGACATGTAGGGAAATAAAAGCATTTTGGATAAAAATTTGGTGGAATATTCAAAATGTTTGTAAGAAAAAGATAAAGTTCACACCGCAGTTATTTTTGTTGGGTATTATGGAAGACTTGGATGTGAAAGAAATGGAATTGATGTTGAACTTTATAACTGCTGCAAGACTATTAGTGGCTCAATATTGGAAAACGGAAGGTTTACCTACTATAGAAGAATGGTCACTTAAAGTCTCAAATTTAGCAGAAATGGCCAAGATCTCTGCTTATGTGAAGGATCACTCACAAGAAAGATATATTTCGGTTTGGAGAAGATGGATAGATTATATTGAGAAGAAATATGGGACCAAAAGGTTCCATTTGGTTTTTGAGTGAATTTTAGAGTATTATTGTTGTGATACAGTTTATTTATCCTTATTTTTAATTATTAATACGATATTATTATTATTGTGTTTAATCTTAATATATTTTCTGTGAAAAAGAGAGTGAAAGGATTTTACAGATTTGTTCTTCTAATAATTGATTAATGTTAGTTAGAATATGATTATCCTATTGTTAACCCTGTGATTAGCTCTGGGAAGTGGGGGGGGGAGGGAGGGGGGAGGGGAGGGAGGGTTTTTGGAGAGGGGGGGCAATTATATTGTAAAACTTTTATAAAACTTTTAATTAAAAAAAAAATGTCTGCAAGAAAACAACCGAGGTCAGGGACCAATGACCCCTTCATTCTCCTCATCCCCCCCCCCAAAGCTCACCCCCCTTCTAGCTGGGTCCTGAGATATTTGCAAGAAAACCAAAGGAGCCCACTCCTCCGTTCCCACCAGGTTGGTTTCCGACATTATTTCCATCCCTCAAATAAGGTCCTACGTTCCGCCAGTATTTGGCTTCCCTCTTAAAAGTTACCTGGGGACTTTTGACAGTCGTGCGAACTTGTCAAGACGTAGCTGAGAAGGCAGGCAGGCCGTCCACTTGGGGCGCCGGGACCAAAACCTCACCTGGGTTTCCCTTTCCAGGAGCCCCTCCTGCCGCCCTCCCCCCTCCCCCCCTCCCCTCCCCTCCCCTGCCCTCCCCCACCCCCACCTACCGGGCTGTCTGGGTCCCTGGGATGGCTGCACAGCCTCTGATTGTGGATCACAGCTTGTCGGACGCCGGAAGTGGAGGCCGAGCGGCCTAGAAGGTACCCACCGGTGAAATCTGGGAAGGGGGGTGGTGGAAGGAAGAGACCCATGAGTCCTTTTGCCTCAAGCCCCCCCCCCCTCAGCTGACTCCCCCCACCCCCTAACAGCCAGGCTGTAATGCAGGGCAGGAAGGATCCCACTTCTGCCCGTTGAGCAAACAGAGAAACTATCGTGTGTGTGTGTTTGTATTTGTTTGTCGTGTGTGTTTGTGTGTGCATCTGTGTGTTGTTTTGCCTGCTGCGGTCTGCCTTCCCTGTTCCCCTGAAGTTTACCGGCCTCTTTGAAGCTGCATTAAGGATGCCTCCTGCAGCCCCAAACAGGCCAGAGATCTATGGGGGGGGGTCTCCTGCCCCTCCCCACTGGCAGAGAGGGCCGCCCGCCAGCCCAAGGGAGCCCCTCCCCCCCCATGGCTCACTCACCTCCGTTGCGGTGACAGGCAGGGAAGGTCTGGCAGGGGATGGGCAGGTTGGTCCTGCCGCCGGGCATCTTGGCGGCCAGACACTCGAGGGCGGGCGCGCGGACCGGGATGCTGGACTGCGGGTGGCTTGGCGGGACTTTCTCTTCCTTCTCCAGTTTGGGCTGAGCGGTTTCACTGCCCTCCCACGCCTGGGGGCAGTCTGGGACCTCTGCAGGGGCAGGAAAGCAACGGGCAGAGGGGGGGGCATCCGTAGAATGCCTGGCTCAGCCCCCCCCACCTGTGCCCAGCCAGCCCTCGAAAGATGGGGTGCAAGGACAGAATTTCCCCACACACTAAATGAGCAGACGAGCCCCTTGGAGAGGAAAGACCCCCAGGTGGGAGGAGACCCCCAACCCAGAATTGCTTCCGTTCAGCAGCACCCCTCTTCCTGAGCAGCCCCCAATTCATGCTCCAGTCAAGACCAAAGCCCCTTCCCCACCCTGGGCCCGGGCTGTCAGATACTCCGCACCCCTTCTCCTACCCCTCCCCCAGCATTCTCGCCCACCCTTACTGTCAGGCTCCTTCCCCTTCCGGACGCCGGCTCTCCTCTGCAGCATCCAGCCGAAGGCCTCTTCCTCTCCGGCCGGCCGGCCGCACTCCTCCCCGGACACCACCTGGTGGATGCTGGCGAACGCCCGGTCCCGCAGCTGAATTTTGACAGCCGAGGATGCCTTGGTGGCCAGGCTCTTGTTGCTCTCGTAGGCCGGGGGGCGTTTGAGCCCCACGCAGGGCGCCGGGTAAGTCCAGACCATGCCCAGAGGGGGCGGCTCGGGCAGCGTGCAAATGCGCTGCACCTGTTTGCAAGCGGGCACGGTGGACGGGCGGGCGCACAGCATCCCGTGCAGGACCGAGATCTCCTCCGCCTTCTGCTCGGAGGGCGCCGTGTGAGTCGTGACCTTGACTGCGGAGTAAACCATGGTGTACGAGACCGCTGGCTTGTCTTTCCCGGGCAGCCCGGAGGGGATAGAGGCCACCGGCAGGGCTGGGGTGGGGGGCGGCGGCTTTGCGGAGGGGCAGATCATGCTGTGAGACACGGGGAGATCCTTGTCTGGCTTGCTCTGGCTGGCCGGCTGGGGGGGCAGCGGCGTGGAGTGGCTGCGAGCCCGCCCAGAAGGCGCCAGGGCCGGGTTCTCGCTGCCCCGCTGATGGTGGTGGCTGGGCACCTGGGGGGTCATGGGGGCCGAGGGGGCGTCCTTGGCGTGGCACAGGATGGGCAGTTTGGAGCCGTCGGGACCCCTGTACCCCTTCTTGCCCTGGGGGAAGGCCAGAAGAGGGGGGCGGTGCTGCAAAAGGTTGGGGAAGGGGGCTGGGATCTCACACGGGGAGGTCTTGCTGCTCGGCGCCCCCTTGGCAGCCTCCTTCTTGGGGGGCCGATGCCCAGGGGAGGCGAGGGCCCCGTTGGGGCGGGGCTCCCCCCCGTCCTCAGGCAGCGGGTACTTCATTTCTTCGTAAATGGCTTCGCTCTCGTCCGAGTCGTCCTCCGCAGCGGTGACTCCTTGGGAGGGGGGGCCGGGTCCCCGGAAAATGTCCCCCACCATCTCGATGTAGACCGGCTCGTCCTCCTCGGCGTCGGAGCCCTTGGCCTGGCCGTGGGACGCGGCACGGCCGTAGCGCTGCAAAGCGCCCCCCGCAGCCGGGCCTGGCAGTCGCCCGGAGTAGGTCTCGTCAAACGACACGGAGAGATGCGTGTTGGGGCTGCGTTTGGGCTTCTGCGGGGGCACCTTGCGGGCGGCCTCTCGGCTCTCCACCCCAGCCTTCTGACACCCTGGCAGAGAAAGGGAGGAGAGGATGGCAGAAGGCCCTGCACCACACGCCCGGGGGGGGGAACTGTCCCAGAAGAACAGAATAGAATAACGGAGCTGGGAGGGAGGTCATCTAGTCCAACCCCCTGCTCAGGCAGAAAACCCATCTCAGATCAATGTTTGTCCAATCTCTTCTTAAGAACCTCCAGTGCTCACACGGCCGCATTCTGGACCAGGTGAAGCTTCTGGTTAGTCTTCAAGGGCAGCCCCATGTAAGACCCACGGCAGTAGTCAAGCCACAAGGTGAGTTGCAGAGCCTGCCGGCCAGGCTTCTCTCCAACCCCCCCCCACACAGAAAGGCCTCCGAAGCGCCTCCTCACCTCCTTTCTTGCTTCCCATCAGCTCCAGGGCGCTCCGGGCCTCCGTGCTGAGCTTCGTGCTGGGGTGCCGCTTCGGCTTCGCGGGTGGCTTGCGAGAACCCATCGCCCCGTCCGTGGGGCCGCTGTCCACACTGCCCACGGAGTGGCACGAGAGAGAGCGGGGCGCCATGCTGCTGGCACAAGGGTGCGGGGCGTGCTCCTGGGAGGCTGGCATGGTCATGAACCCCATCCTGAAATGCCGGCGGAAGGAGGCCACGTCGCGCGCCTTCCCCACGCCCGTCTCCTTGGTCGACCTGCAGGAGGGGAGGGGAGGGGAGAGGACGCCGGGCGCTGAGCGGCCTTCCATCGGGGCTCCACCCTTACGTACATCCTCGACTTAACGACCACAATGGATTAGCCTAAGATTTCTCTTCCTATGCGAGACATTTGTTGACTGAACTTCGCCCCATTTTACGACTTTCCTTGCCACGGTTGTTAAACGAATCCCTGCAGCTCTTAAGTTAGTAACCTCCGGCTTCCCCACTGACTTTTGCTTGTCAGAAGGTCGCAAAAGGGGATCACGTGATCCCCTGTGACCGTCGTAAACACAAGTCAGTTGCCAAGCGTCTGAATTTTGATCACGTGACCGCGGGGGATGCTGCGACGGTTGTTAAGCGAGGCTCCGGTGCCCCTTGCCCAAAATCACAAGAGCTGCTTCACGGGATCCAGAGGCCTCTCGGATATAATGCCAAACCCAGTTAACGGGATGGCAAAGGAATCACGTTTGCATCCTGGACTGTTGGTGCTAAACCCCCTTCCTGGTTCCAGGGGTCGCCAATCGTGGCAACTTTAAGACGTGTGGGCTTTGACTCCCAGAATAATGTCTGGGGAGCCTACATGTCGCCAAGGTTGGACACTCTTGTTGTAAACAAACATGGGATCTGTTTGTGCTTCACCAGGAGATCAAGCCTGGATCTCAAGCGGCTTTGAGCACATCAGTCGGACAAGCAGGGGTTACTAGAAGGGCAGGGAAGCTGGATCTGCGCAATTCCACACTCAAGACCCCCACCGTCCGAGCCCAAGACTCAGATCCACAGCCTCAGAATCCGTCCTCGGTGCCCCCTCGTCCACCTGGCATCCTTGCCAGTGACAGACAGCAGAGAAAGACGCTTTGGCATCTCAGCTTGCAGCTGGCAAGTCCTCGGGAGCAAGAATGGCGGGCCAAGTGCCCCTCCTGTCCCCCCCACCTCGAGATTCTCCTGTCCCCCAGCCCCGTCTCTCCTGGCACCCTGGCAGACGCCGCTGGGCAAGGGAAAGAAGTCTCCGCTGTTCCCTGCTCCGGAGACAGCGTGCCTCGCCAAGTGGCCAGTCTGGCACCCCGCAGACCCGTCGGAGCAGGGTGGGGGCCCAGCCCAGGCAAGGAAGGAGGTTTGGTCATCCCCATGGAGGCTCCTACACCCTTGGGGCAGGCCCGGAAGAGGCTGGAGAAAGAGGAAGGGGCTGCTCAGGGTCAGATCCTGGGCAGACCCCTCCTTTGGGCCGCCGAACCTGCCCAAACCACCCGATTCACGCAAGACACGAAACCGGGTTAATACGACACGAGGGCCGCGTTCCAGACCTACACAGTGCCCAAACAGCCACAAAACGTTCCGGCTTAGTGCGATGCAAAGTTACCCCCTAGCACAGGGGTAGGCAACCTCGGCTCTTTTATGACTCATGGACTTCAACTCCCAGAATTCCTGAGCCAGCTCAGGAATTCTGGGAGTTGAAGTCCATGAGTCATAAAAGAGCCGAGGTGGCCTACCCCTGCGCCTAGCATCTTAAGGCAGCTTTCTCGTCTTGTACCAGTGCAGACCCTGAGAAGCAGCAGCCCACCAGAGACCCTTCCAGCAAGAGGCCCCAGACAGTGGCGTGGGGCCGGCTTTCTCCCCCCCCCCCACCAGGCCACGCGATGCCCCTTCCCTTCTCTCAGCATCCATGCCGAAGGGCCCTTCCCTTCCCCTGCTCCTCCCTGCCCCTCCCAGCTGGCAGGTTTGGAAATCGGTCCTCCTGTTCCCCACCCCCTCCCCAGGTTTTATTCGCAGGAGTGAAGGGTCCTGGGTACCAAAAGCATGAGGATGCAGCAGGATGCTGGCTGATGGCCCAGCCGTTTCCATGGAAACTGTGTCTGGGTGACCTGCAGGAGCCGGCAACATCAGCCTGCTGGCGCCTTAACCCCTTGCAAGCTGCCAGCTAGGAAGGGACGGAGGGGGGGGACGCACAAGAGGAGTCCTGTTCCTTCGGGCACCCCCCCCAGGCCACCCCCCCCTTGGAAAGCACCCCACAAACCGAAGACACGACAAACACGCAACAATGGAGCCCCATCTGTCTCAATCGCAGTAACTTTAAGATAGATGGACTTCAACTCCCAGAATTCCCCACCAGCACAGATCTGAACTGAAAGTACAAAAGGGAGGGTCTTGCTCCCAGCGTGGTTGGCACAGGAGATGCTGCCCAGAGGCCCCAAACCCACCACTGGCACACCACACACGTTAAACCACTGGCACCCAACACCCGATGGACATCTTCCCTCGTGAGCCCCCATCCCCTTGCCCCCTGGGCCCCCAAACCACCCCTTGCTCCGAGGCTTTGTGGAAAGTGTCTGGAAGTCAATGGAGGGCCTGGTGCTTTGGGTCTTCCCGCCCCCAAAGGACGGACCCACAAGGAGGCCCCCCCTAGGGACAATTCCACAGCGGATGCTCTTCCAGTTGGCCAGGAATTCTATCCTGCTGGTCAATAAAGACCCTCCCTTGACCACAGAGTGGGCTTTCCAGTTGCAAGCCCCCGGGGGTCTTGACCCACAGACAGGGCCCCACGTTCTGCAGGAGGGTAGCTGGGAAAGCCGCAAGGGATTGCCAGTCGGACGTTGAGTTGCCGATTTCCATCCCTTCCCTGACCCAACACAAGCCATCCATGTTTAGAAGTTGGGTAGTCCTCTCTTGGGGATGGCAAGTTTAAGATGGGTGGACTTCAACTCCCAGAATCCCCCAGCCAGCCTCGAGCAACTTCAGTCAAGCTTGAGGCCGGTCGGGATCGAAATGTTGGCAGTGGGCAGAGTTAGCCTGCAATACTGCTTTCCCACCACCGCTCTTTAATTGATTGATCTTTAATGGGTTGATCCTGCTACGACTTGCTACCCTTTCGGATCACTTCCCAGCATCTGATTCTATGACTTAAACCTATGACTGGCACCAGGGGTAGTCAACCCTGGCTCTTTTATGACTCGTGGACTTCAACTCCCAGAATTCCTGAGCCAGCTTAGCTGACTCAGGAATTCTGGGAGTTGAAGTCCATAAAAGAGCCAAGGTTGACTATCCCTGCTCTAAGCCAAGGCCTGGGTGATGCCACCCGCCTTTCCCAAACCGGGCACCTCTATCCGGTAAGGGCACACCAAAGTCCTACAGGCAGCTACTCAACTTCATTCGTTTAGTGACCGTTCGGAGTTACGACGGCAAAGTGGTTTACAACCATTTCTCACTCTTAAGACCGTTGCAACGTCCCCGCTGGCTCAGGAATTCTGGGAATTGAAGTCCACGAGTCATAAAAGAGCCAAGGTTGACTACCCCTGTGTTAAACAAACTGACCACCAGCCCTGTGTTCACAACCCATGACGCCCAGATGACCACAGGCTGATGAGGCCACCCCTTCAATGACTCAATCGACTTCCTTAGGTCTAGCACCTGATCCACATTGCTACACACACACACACACACACACACACACACCGTTATGACACAATGAGGCCCATTTCAACCCCAGACCTCTTGGTCATTTCCTGCCGAACCATCGGAGGATTACAAAGCGTCAAGCCGCGTTCACACAAAACCAACCCAGCCAGGCTAAGGATTCGCACCAGAGGCCGAAATCCCTTCCGGCCAATTTCCAGGTGCCCTTCACCTGTTGGATGTAATCCTGAAACTAGACCGCTGCAGCCAACCGGGGGGCCTCTATGTACCTGGGGCCCTTGCTTCTGACCACCTTTCATTGCCCTGTTGCCTCAAACCATGATGGCTTGTTGGGTTTTGGAAAGCTTTTGTAATGCCCGGCTTAAGAGTCGAAGGTAGAACAACAGAGTTGGGAAGGCGTTGCAGTTTTGCCCGGTTGCTCAGACGCAGAGAAGGTGAAATGCCCTACAGAATCCCAGAGTCGGAAGGGACCTGGCAGGCCATCTAGTCCAACCCCCTGCTCAAAGAGGAGACCCTCAACCATTCCAGACCAATGGCTGTCAAATCCCCTCTTGAAAGCCTCCAGTGATGGAGCAGCCACAACGTCTGGAGGCAAGTCGTTCCACTGGTTAATCGTTCTCACTGTCCGGGAAGTTTCTCCTAACCTCCAGCTTGCTTCTCTCCTTGACTGGGGAGGGGGCCCTCTGCCTCAAGGACCCTCTAAGTGGCTCCAACCTGCCTTGCTACTATAGGTGGTGGCTGTTGCCAAGACATCCTTGGTGTTGTCTGAGCTTTTGTTGTTTTCTTGCAGACGTTTCGTGACCCAGTTAAGGAACACCATCCCTGCCAGCAGGGTGTGGGGCTTGCTCTCAGCTGCTGTCCCGGCGTCGCACCCTTGTCAGTGCTGGTTGTGGGGTTGTGGCCCTGGGGGGGGAGGTGTTCCCTGCTTGGGCTGTTTACTGTTGCCCTCTTGGGCAGTCCCTTGATTGGGGTACGGTTTACTTCTGGATTGCTGGTCTGAGGTTAACCTGGGAGTTAATCTCTGCTCACCTGGGGGGTGGATTGCTGGCGGGGGAGGGGCTTTGATCTTCTGGGTCCCTTTGGGGCTTGTGGATTACCTCTTCTGCATAGTCGGGAGATGTTGGTTGTGTCTGTGTGTCTGTTGATGGCTGATTTAGTCAAGACTGCCAAGACGTGGGACGTAACCCCACTCCCTACCAGCACTGATGACGTGCCCTAGCTGGGTCATGAAACGTCTGCAAGAAAAGAACCCGGCTCAGAGACCACCAAGGACCCCACCACCACCACCGATCCTCCTACTCTTTTCTAGCACTGATGATGTTACCTAGTTGGGTCATGAAACGTCTGGAAGGAAACTACCAAGCTGAGAGAGCACCAAGGACCCCCCAGTTTCTTCTTCTTCCTCCTCCTCCTCCTCCTCCTCCTCCTCACAAACCCCCCTCCCTTCTAACACTGACAATGTTACCTAGTTGGGTCATGAAACGTCTGTGAGAAAACGGCCAAGCTCAGAGAGTACCAAGTGCCCTCATGTGAATCCTGAGTTACATGTGAATCCTGAGTTTAATGAACAGAAGGACGAGGGGGGACATGATAGCAGTGTTTCAATATCTCAGGGGCTGCCCCAAAGAAGAGGGAGTCAAGCTATTCTCCAAAGCGCCTGAAGGCAGGACAAGAAGCAACGGATGGAAACTGATCAAGGAGAGAAGCAACTTAGAACTAAGGAGAAACTTCCTGACAGTGAGGACGATGAACCAGTGGAACAACCTGCCTCCAGAAGCGGTGAATGCTCCAACACTGGAAGTTTTTAAGAAGAGACTAGACAGCCGTTTGTCTGAAATGGTGTAGGGTTCCTGCCTGGGCAGGGGGTTGGACTCGATGACCTCCAAGGTCCCTTCCAACTTTATTATTATTATTATTATTATAATTTCCTTTATCGGTTCCTACGACAGTCCAGCCAGAAGCCGGCCCCTCTTTTCCCCAATGTCTCACGTGTGTGGGGGGGCCAAGGCTCTCCTCGCTCTGCCCAGCCCTGTGGCAGAAGGAACATTTTGCAGCCGAAGCCCTTCAGAGCAGCCCCCCCACCCCTCCCCCTGCCCCCCCCCCCCCGCGTCTTCAGCAAGCACACATCCCAGCGGTTCCCCGAGAAGCAAAATGGCAGAAAAGCCTTTGACAAATTGCACAATTCATCAAGGTCCTACCTGGGGTTAAGCCTCTGCGCTTCCCCCCCCCCCCAATTTTAGAAGCGCTTTGTTCAGATCAACCCAGATTCTGTGGAAAATAAAATAATTGCTTAAAGGCTAAGTGCAGAAAGCCCTTTCCCCCAGGACTGGCCAGCTTCGGGGGCTCCTGCTGTTCTCGCCTCTTCTGCAAGGCCCCATCTCCAAAGGCCCCGGGGGAGCCAGCATCTCGGGGTGCTTCTTCAGGGGCCCCACACGGAGACACGCTGTGGGAGGAAAGGCCCTGCGCCCTGGAGGGGGGCTTGCCCCGAAGGCCTCCCTCTCCCTGGGGAAGGGGGCCAGGAAGGGAAAGGGGTGAAGGGAAGGCGGCTGGGTGAGCAGGGCAGGGCCCCGCCAAGGAGGAGCCCCGACTGTGCCTCTCCGGAGTCAACTCATCCCCCCCCCCAGGGCAGGGGTAGGCAACCTGGGCTCTTTTAGGACTCGTGGACTTCAACTCCCAGAATTCCTGAGCCAGCCATGCTGAGGGGAAAGGGAGAGGTTTCCAAGCTGAGCCATGCTGGCTCAGGAATTCTGGGAGTTGAAGTCCACGAGTCATGAGGGGGCCATAGTTCCCCCACGCTGGCTCAGGAATTCTGGGAGTTGAAGTCCACAGGTCATAAAAGAGCCAAGGTTGCCTACCCTTGCCCCAGGGACTGTCAGGATGGGGCTGCCTGCGCTACAATCGGTTCTCGACTTACAACAGTTCATTTAGTGACCATTGAAAGTTACAACATCACTGAAAAAAGTGAATTAGGACCGCTTTTCACACTTACAGCCGTCGCAGCCTCCCCAGGGCCACGTGATCAAAACTCGGGACAGCTGACAACTGAGTCACATTTATGATGGTCACCGTGTCCCGGGGGGGGTGTCACGTGTTCCCTTTTTGCGACTTTCTGACAAGTAAAGTCAAGGGGGAAGCCAGGTTCACTTTACCAACTGTGTTACCAACTTATCAACTGCAGCGATTCACTTAACATCTGTGGCAAGGTCGTAAAACGGGACAAAACTCACTTAACAAATGTCTCACCAACATAAATTTTGGGGCTCAATTGTGGTCGTAAGCCGAGGACCACCTGGGCTTTGTTTCAGCCTAACTTTCTCAAAGACAGGTGAGGCCACCTTATCCCTTCCCAAATGCCTCCATAATGTTTTCCCCCAGAGAGAGGGAGTGAGAGACAGCGATACAGAGAGAGAGAGAGAGAGAAAGAGACACAGAGAGAGAGAGAGACGGAAAGAGAGAGACAGAAACAGACAGAGAGAAAGAGACAGAGACACAGAGAGACACAGAGACAGAGAGAGAAAAAGACAGAAAGAGAGAGAGAGAGAGAGAGAGAGAGAGAAAGAGAGAGACGGAAAGAGAGAGACAGAAAGAGAGAGACAGAGAGAGAGAAAGAAAAAGACAGAAAGAGACAGAGACAGAGACAGAGAGAGAAGAAAAAAAGGGGGGGAGACATAACCATTCTAACCCAAAGCCCCCCCTAACTTCTAGGATGGCACGAAGGGCGGGAAGACAGTTCCAAGCGGGCACAAAGAGACAGAGAGAGAAGCGCAGGACATCGCTGACCAGTTCAGCTGCAGACTGACCTCCACACACATCCCCAAAGAGAGTGACTTTAGTAGGTCATCTGGGCACATTGGTGAATTCACAAGTGGGCTGAGCCCCCCCCCGCCACCCACCTCTCTGCAAACAGGGCCCACAGTGGGGGCTTCAACACAGGCCTTGCCCCCCACCCTTTTCTGATCCTTAACACTCCAGAGCAGGCCATTAATTTCAAAGATCCTGGGGTAAACACATGTCCATCATTTAACAAAAATTAAAAGTATATACATATATCTCTATATATCTCTCTATCATCTCCATATCTATCTATCTATCTATCTATCTATCTATCTATCTATCTATCTATCTATCTATCTATCTATCTATCTATCTATCTATCCATCCATCCATCCATCCATCTCTATATCTATATCTATATCTATCTATATCTGTGTGTGTGTGTTTGTTTGTGTGTATGTATGTATCTATGCATACCGGGAAATATACATGTGTATATATTTATGTGTGTGTGTATACATACCACACACAAACACACACACACACACACACACACACACACACACACACACACACAAACACTAAATAAGTAAGTAAGCAAGTAAATAAGAAACCAAAAAACAAACTCAATGGACAGACCGAAGAGACCATTGGCTGTTTTTCTGCCATCCGTTTTCTACGTTTCTACCCTGGTCCGACACAGTTTATCCTGAGCAAGGAAGATATATGCAAGCCGACAAGCCCAAACCGTGACCCACAACCAAGAGGAGATTTGGGTTTCTCTGCTCCAAAGACCACAAGCCACAGCAGAGCCCCACTCCTTAAGACGGACAGCAGAACTCAGATAACCAGGAGAATCGCTCGGGACGTGGACTTCAGCGTACACCACCGGCTGAGGCACCATAATAACCCTGGCAGGAAATCGGTTGCAAATCCATTCAAAATCAGAATTTACAACCAGGTGCCCGTTTGCCACTCACTCAATGAAAAACCAAAACGTTCTAAATTGCCACAATACGCTCGACTTTCCAAAAGAGCCGCTCTCAGATTACAGCAGGGGTCGCCAACCTTGGCCACTTTAAGACTTGTGGACTTCAACTCCCAGAATTCCCCAGCCAGCAACGCTGGCTGGGGAATTCTGGGAGTTGAAGTCCACAAGTCTTAAAGTGGCCAAGGTTGGGGATCCCTGCATTGGAGGACCAAACCACGATAGGAGCATCACAGCTACACCTTCGCTGAAGACCACGGGCCCTGCCAAATCAGGAAGAGGGATTAACCTGGTTAATTGTCCTCAGTAAGCCATCAACCCAGGTCAGGGTGGACAACAACTTTAGGACCTGTGGACTTGCCGGCTCAGGAATTTTGGGAGCCGAGGTCCACAGCTGGTGAAGTTGCTGCAGTTGTTCACCCCTGATCTGTGTGCAGTGCTAATTGTGGCAGAAAACCCATAAAGCAAAGAAACGGCATCACAAACCGTCCTTAAGTGATCCAGTAAGACCTTCCTTAGTTCTGCCAGAGACGAGCCTATTCCTGGTTTATTCTGGGTGTTTATTCCGGTAAGTTACACTGAGTTTTTCCCCCAGTACTTTTGACTTGGCCCCGATCCCCTCCTTACGCACACAAAAGCAGCCAAACACACCCAAACCAGATTTGGGGGCAAATCTCTCACCCCACAGGGCTCGGGAAGGGCTACTCAGACCCACGGAGGTGTCAATGGTAGTCAGACCCCTTTGAAAAGCTGGCCCCCTCCCCAGTTTTGGTTAACACGCCTGCAGGGTTGAAGGCTCTCCAGCAAAGCATCCCTTGACCCGGAGATGGGGGGTGGGCCCATACAGGGAGGCCCATGGACACGGGTGGGCTTCCTGGGCTGTTTTGGGGCCAACGGAAGAACAGGCTACGGGCCAAGAGGGGCCAGGGCCCAATCCACCAGGGGGCTGAAACCGCACAGGGCCCAGCTGATGGGGTGCCTGGGAAGGGGGTCCCTCCTTTCTCCCGGGAAGGGGGTCCCTTCCTGCATTCGGCCCCCTCCCCAGGTTGTGCACCACCCATCCCATCAGGAGCCCCTTCCCCTCCCTCGCCTGCACAGGAGAGGACCGTGGGGGGGGCTTTTCTTCCTTCCCCACCCAGCCCCGGGAGGGGAGCGCTCACCCCCGCTTGGGCTCCTCGCCCTTGGCCTCCGGCGGCGGCGGCGGCGGCGGCTGCTTCCACTCCACCTTGCCGCTCTTCCGGTAGAGGAGGTTCATGTCGCTCCGCAGCCGCAGCTCCTGGGGGCGGCAGGTCTGGCTCAGCGCCCCGTAGCACCAGCGGCCCCGCGCCTCGATGAACTGCAGGAAGGCGGAGATCAGGGCTTCCTGGGGGCTGGCATTCATCTTCCGCGGGCCGGGGGAAGGCGGGCCGGGGGCGCCCGGAGGGGGCGCTGCTGCTGCTGCGGGAAAGAGGTCCGGCTGAGCAGAGAGGCGCCAGGAACCAGGCCGCCTCTGAGCCCGTGCAGAGCGCCGGGCCTTCCCCACCCGGAGCTCCCACCCACCCACCCACCTGGCGCTTGACCCGATTCCGTCGAAAACCAGGGTGGCGCGGGGAGGGGGGGGCTAGGCACGGCCTCCCACCCTCCACCCTGCTGGACCCAGCCGGAGCAAAGAGGCCCCCCGGTGGCTCCGGTCGGGCCGGCCCGTTTCCACCCGCGGGAGGAGCCGGGCGGGGCGCAGGCAAGCAAGCAAGCCAGGCCGGCAGGGACGCGCAGCCCCGGCTCCCCCGCGACGCCGGACCCCGCCAGGCAGCCGCGCGCGTCCCCCACATCCCCGCCGCCGCCACCTACCTGCTGGGCGGAGAGCTATCTGGGGGAGCGGGCGGGGCGGGGGCCGGGGGGCATCGCTCCGCCGCCGCCGCCGCCCTGCTTCTCCTGCCGGCCGCGGCTCCACTCAGTCGCCCGCCATCCTCGCCACCGCCGCCGCCCGGGCGAGGGGGATGCCGGCCGCGGGCTCAGGGGGGCCGCCCCTCCATGGCGCCGGGCGCGCTGGGCCTGCGGGAAGGGCGCGGTCCNGCTCCGCGCGCGGCTTCCTCCGGCTGACGCAGCGTCTCGGCGCGCCTCCCCCACCCGGGAACGCGGGCGCAGCGCGGGGGGAGGGCAGGGGAGGGGAGCCCCCCGCCGTGGGGGACGGGAGGAGGCCGCGCCGCCGTCCCCCGCCCGCTCAGCCCCGAGCTCGGCCCGGCCCGGAGCCTGTCGGCGGCCGGGGAGGGGGTCGCCCCCGCCTCGTCTGCAGCGGCGGAGGAGGACGGTGCGGCGCGGCGAGGCCCTTTCCGCCGTCCCCGGCCGGAGGGGCGCCGCAAGAGCGCAGCCATGGCCGGAGGCGAGCAGCCGGGGCTCCCCTGCCCGAGGGAGGCGCGGTCTGGCCCCGCGATGGCCTCTCCCCCTCCCTTCCCTCCGGGGGGGCGGGCTGCGGGACCAGGCGGGAGGCCGCTCCTTGCCGGCGCGCCTTCCCCAAGCTGGCGCCCGCCCGCCCGCCCGGCTCCTGCCCTCCAGGGAGCGGGGCCCGGGGCGAGCGGGGCCGCGGCCGCCGTCCTTGCCGTGCCTTGGACCGGAGAGGAGCCGGCGGGGCGCGCACGGAGGGGCCGCCCGCTCCACGGGGCCTCCTCGGGGTCACCTCGGGGACGCCGGGCTGCTGCGCTGCTGCTGAAGTTGCCGGGGCCGCCGCTGCCCTCGGAGATGCTGCCCGGCCCGCCCGGTGAGAAGGGCTGCGTCGCTGCGGCTTCCCGGCGGCTCCGAGCGAGGCCCGGCTCTGCACGCGGGAGCCCGGGCGGTCCCGGTTCGCTCGCCGCGCTTGCGGGACCCGGAGAGCCTGCGAAGAGCGCCTCCGGCCCCGCCGGTCGGGCCAACCGGGTCTGACGGCGGCTGGAGGGAATCTCCCCTGCCGGACGAGCCGCTTCGGCCACCGGCCGCGGGGGTCCCGACTCCCACCTGCCGGCCGAAGGTGGCCCAGAGGCCCCCGGGCTAGCCGCGCCGCCTGCCCGAGGGGAGCGGACCAGAGCGGCGCTCGGCCACCAGGGGGCAGCAGCGCCCCATGGCAGCCTTCACGTGACGCCGGGCAGCCTTCTCGGGGCGCCCTCGCCGAGCCCCCCGCTTGCACGTGCTGGGACTTCGCTTGGGGGGGGGCGGGGGTCCGGGGCTTCGTGGCCCCGCCAAAGGGGGCGGAGGGATCGGAAGCCGGACCCCCCGCTTCACCCCCGTCCATCAGTCCCGCTCACAGGCTGGAAGACCCCCGGGACTGGGGTCTCCTGCGGGGGGAGGGCGACTCCTCGGTGCCCCAAAGGGGGATCGGCCGTCGGGGCGGGTGGGAGAAGCGGGAAGGCTCTTCACGGGCGTGTTGGGGGGGGCCGCAGCTTTTATCCTCCGGGGCTCGCCCGGCTGGACAGCCTCCGTCCGGGATGGGGGGGCAGCGGGGGAGGCGCCTTCCCCGCGATGCTCAGGCGGCTGGGGGTTCCCGCCCCCCGACGGGACCACCGGCTTCTGCCCAGGCCGGCCTCTGCTTCTCCCTCCGCGGTCGCCGAGGGGGGGGGCTTTCCAGGCGGGCAGCCCCCGGGCGGCGGCCGCGGGGCAGGGAAGGGGTTAAGGCGGGGGGGGCGGCTGCCCTGGCGGGGGGGGCGGAGGAGGCAGCGCGCCCGGGCCCGGCCCCAGCTGGGGGGGCGTCAACCAGTCAGCTGGTTGGGAGGGGGCCGGACTTCCTGGTGCTGGGGCTTGTCAACAGCCAGCCGACAGCGGGCGAGGAGAGAAGCGAGCGGGGGAAGGAAGGGAGACGAGCCCAGGCGAGCCCGCCAGCCAGCCAGACGAGCGGAGCCCCGGCCGCCGCTTTGCCCACGGACGGCTCGGCCCTTCAGGGGGGCGCGCGCGGGCCCTCCTGCCTCCGGGGGAGCCGAGGGTGAGATCGGCCCTGTCCGCTGGGTGGTCGCCGCCCCCGGAGCGGTGGGGATGCCCTCCGGCCCAGCCCCGACATGCCCCGAAGCGGAACCGAGCCCCGCGGCCCCCTGAGCTGCCCTCCGGGCCGGGATCGAGGCCAGGCCAGGCGGGAGCCGGCGGACCGTTCAGCCGCTTCTCTGCGCCTAGCAGGAGCCGCGGGAGAAAGTTGCAGCTGGGAGTGAAACAATGCGGGACGCCTGCCAGGCCGATGCCCCTTAAGCCGCCTTGTCTCCTGGCCAGGGCGTGCCAACCTCTCGCTCCTGCCAGCCCAGTGCCAGCGCCCGGGTGGCCCAGCCGCAGCGGTCACGGAGCCGATGACCCCGGCGCCTTTGGGGGAGGCCGTCCTGCCCTCGGATCGGCCTGAGGTGCAGACTCTGGACCGCTGGTTCTTCTGCCTGGTGTCTGGTGCCGCGATGGCCCCGGGGCGGCCGGCTCAGCAGCAACCCTGCTAGCCCCCCCACCACACACACACTCTGTTGCCCGGAGAGTTGCCGAGACCCCAGCCCGCTCGGGATCATGAGCGTGGGGAAGAAGAAGAGCGGGTTCCAGATCACCAGCGTCACCTCGGATTACGGGAAGGAAGGTCCGCCCGGAGGGGATGCCAAGGGCCCCTCTGCCAAGCTGGCGGATGAGCCCAGCCCTGTGGAAAACGGCAGTCACCATCCCAATGGTGGCACCGGGCCCAAAAACGGGCCCTTGGCTCCGGGCTCCCCGGGATTGGCCCCCTTGCTCCCAGGCCCCACTGGCTGCGTGTCCGGTTCCCGCTTTCGTGTGGTCAAGCTGGACCATGGCTTGGGAGAGCCCTACAAACGTGGCCGCTGGACTTGCCGAGACTTCTACGAACAGGAGATGGACCACCACCTGGTGGGGCGGCTGGCAGACTCTGCCCGGCAGCCTCAGTCCTTGGACTCCCGGTTGGAGGTGGCCGGCCTGCTGGCGAAGCCCTCCTCGCCCTTCAGCCCCCCGATGCCACGCCAGGGAGGACCTTGCCTGCAGTCCCTGCTGGTGCTCCCCGGGGCCGCGGCCTCGGCCCACCAGGCCCGCTCCCTGGGGGGTGGCCTGCCTGTCCTCCGCCCGGGCAGGACCCTCCCCAGCGCCGCATCTCTCCAGAGCCCCCGGGTGGTGGCAGAGACGCGGCCCCTGGCTCCAGAGGAAGGCGCCCAAGAGCCCGCAGACCCTCCCCAGCTGGGCACCGTCCCCTTGGTGAGAGTGGAGGGGCCCCTGCTCCCGAAAAGCGTCACCCAGCTCATCCCGAGGGAGGCGGAAGAGCGGCAGAAGGTGAGGATGGGGAGACTCGTGACCTGTAGAGGGGGGGTCCTGGGCACCCACTGCTCCCCTCCCCCCAACTGGTACCGAGAGAGGACTGAGGAGAGGGACCTTGGCTGGGAGAAAGCCCCACTTCGCGGGCGTCCTCTGGTCTCGGTTTCACCCTGCCTGCAACTTGGACTCCCTTGTTCTCAGGGGGTTGCCCAGCTCCCCCCCCATCCTCCTGGGGGCAACTCTTCCCCCTCACTGAATCCCTCTTGCCCCTGGGGAGGGATGGGCAGACGCTGGATCCCTCTGATGCCTTCAGGACCAAAGTCCTGGTCCTGCGTCTGGGTCCTTTCAGGAACTTGGCAAGCTGTGGCTGAGCACCCACCAGCCCCACTGCCAGAGGGAAAGAGGGCTGGGGAACGAGCAAAGTTTGGGGGTGCACCTCCCCAAGGCTTCTCCAGTAGAAAATCTTCCCGGGGGGGAAGAGGAGGAAAGAACCCTGGTGCGGGGAGGGGACAAGGGGGGGGGAATCCATTCAGGTGCCCTTGACCAGGAACCGCTGTCCATCTGAGGCCGCAGCAAAATGTTGGTGTCCTGGCAGGGTCCTGCTCAGTGGAAAGGTCTCTAGATGGCCAGAGGGCAGGGGCACCGCACCCTGGGCAGGGGGGGTGCGTGGCTCGCCCTCCCCTCCCCAGCCTTTTCCTCTGCTTTTCGGGCTACGCAAACAGGCAACCCCCCCCCTTAGGGAAGCCCCTTTGACCTGGCTTTCCCCTTCCGTGCGGGGCCCACCGCCCCCACCGTCCCAAGAGGGCCGGAGTGAAAAGTCCCCACCTGCCCTCCCCATTTCCTCTTCCTCCATGCTCTGGAGAGAGAGAGAGCTCCAGCCTGTGGGGGGGGGGAAATCTCAGCTTTTTCTCCCTCGTGACAGATTTTGCCCCGAGAGACCCGCTCGCGCCCATCGTCCCCGGCTCCCCTGCTCTTCCGCGATGCAAGCCCCCACCGGAGGACCTCCGACCCCTTTGGCGTGTCCCGCTTCAACCTGGCCCGGTCGGTGTTTGGCATGGGGGCCGGCCACGACAGCGATGACGACAGGTAGGGGCCGGGGAATTGGGGGGCGGCCTGGCACATCCCGGGGCAGCTGTGCCAAGCCTTGTGGGGAGGGGGGGCTTTGAACCCTGGCCTCCCTCACCTGCCCCCTGCCGGGCGCTTGGAGACCCCCAGCGGGCGAGGCCGGAGGAGGCCGGGTGCGCAGGTGACACATCGGAGGGAAGCTGACTTGCGGCTGGTTGCAAGGCGATTTCTTAATGCTGAGACGCCTGGCTCTCTGCACGCGCCTCTGGCTGCCCTCAGCACGGGCTCTCGGTGCACAACCCATCTTGGCCAAAGCCTGAGCCTAGTTCCCCTCTTCAGACTTGGGCAATTGAGGAAGAGGGGGTGTTGTCAGAAGGAAGGAGCGGATGTGTGCGCGTGCGGTTGAGAGTGCTGCGGGGTGTGTGTCTGTGTGTGTCTGTGTGCAGCCCCAACCCCCCCCCAGAAATGACTCAGGGTGCTGCAACAGCCGGTGGTCAGAGGGACCGAGAGGGGGGGTGTCCCACGGGGCAGTGTTTTCTGTACCAGGACAATTTCCACGAAACCGGACCCTCTTTCTTCCGAGGGGTGTTTCTCCACCTCCTCTGTGCCTGTGACGCACCCTGTGGCTTCTTTCTGGCGCAAACAGTCCTTGTGTTGGGTCCCGGGGAGTTTTGGGGGCAGGCGGATGGAAACGGGAGCTGGAGGGGAGGGGAGGGAAGGAGGGTGTAGAATTTCAGGATCCGGCCCCCTTCGGCCGCCTCCCAAGTAGGTGAGGCCAGCTTCCCTCCCAACCCGGCTGCTGCTATTTCCAGCCTGGCACGGAGGGTGGGGTGGGGGGTGGAGTGGGGGGGGGCAGAGGAGAGTCTATTTCCAGCCTGACCCACGGCAGCCTCTGCCAGCCCCGCCTGTCAGCCTGGCTCTGCCAGAGCTGTGCCTGGTTCTGGAGGTGCCAGCGGCCAAGCACCCCCCCCCCCACCCACCCCCCAACACAGCCAGACATGCCCCCCCCCCCGTCTTTCCCTTGCCCGGCTTCCTTGCCCTGCTGGCTGCTGCGGGTAGCGGCTCTTTGATCCCTCAATCCGAATAGAGCTGGAAGGGAGCTTGGAGGTCTTCTAGTCCACCCCCCTGCTTAAACAGGAGACCCCTAGAGACCGTTCTGGACAAAGGACCGTCTTATCTCTCCTTAAAAACCTCCAGTGGATGGAGCACCCACAACTTCTGGTGGCGAGTTGTTCCACTGGTGAATTCTTCTCGCGGTTGGGAAGTTTCCCCTTGATTCCAGGTGACCTTCAGATTCAGCCCAGAACCCACAGCTGGCATTTTAGCTGCTGGGGAGGGACAGCAGCCCCTTGGTGGGGACTGTGGGTGTTGTGCCCCCCCATCCATTCATGCTTCTGCCCCTCTGCTACCTACAGCTGACCACCTGCCCCAGAGGGACCCCCAATCTCCTCCACATTTGGGCCCGTTTCCCCCCCCCTCTCTGGTTTTCCGGGGGTCTCGATCCCATTTCCCCCACGCCAGAGTCCGCTCCCTCCCCTTTTAGCCCACCCCCCCCCAAGGTCGGGCAGAGGGCTTGGCTGGCGTCAAGGGCGCCCCAAGGGCCGAGCGGGGGCTGCCTTCCGATTCCTGCCTCCCTCGGAGTCACCCTGCTTGCTTGCTTCCTCCCACCCAAATCTCTCCGGCCTTCCCCCCTCCCCCAAAGCTTAATGGGGGCCATTATCAAGATTGCATCCCCCCCCCAGCTGGTTCAGTCCAGCACCCACTACATTCCTCCTGGGGGTGACTCTACTATTCTTAGCCATATTAAGTGTCGGCAGGGGGGGGCAGGAGGGAAGAAAATTGAAGGGGGGGGGTAAACTTCACACTGAAACGCGGCTGGGTGGGACGTTTCGCTCCAGGAGGTGGGGGGGGGTGAAAGAACCCCGTGCCCAGAACAAATCCTTCCAAGGGCTGGCAGAGCCGGTTCGGGCTTAGAGGCGGGCATCTCAGCAAAGGGGGGGGGGTGTCAGTTGACGGAAGCCCCTTTCCTGCCAGCTCTGCTCTCTGCCCCACAGCGGAGGGGGGGGGAGACGGCTCCCTTCAGAACCAGCAAGTCTTGTCTTTATGCTTAGCCTGTCCCGCCCCACTGGCCCCCACCCCTCCCCTGAGTGATGCCAACACCCCCCACCCCAGTGATGCCAACACCCCCCACCCCAGGCATTGCTGGTTTTGGATGCCCAGCCAGCCGTGGGGGGGGGTTGTTACGAGAAAAGATGGAGGATCTAGAGAGGGCTTCCTCCCCCCCCAGGGTTTTCCTCTCAGCTCTTTGCTTGGAGGTTTTGCACTCTGTGCATGCTCAAGGGGAGTCAAGGCTCGACGTGGCGAGTGGCAAATAGGGGGCGCTGTGAGGGAGGGGGCCTGGGGGAGGGGCTCATCCCAGGACGGCGAGAGAGTAAATGCCACCGGCGTGCCGTCGGGAACAATTCTTCCAGGGGTCAGAAAGGGCCCCCTCGAGTGTGGCCTGGCGGAGGGGGGCCTCCTGCCCCACTGACTTCACCCTGAGACCCCGAGGCCCTGTGTTGCCAAGGGGGTCAACGTACAGTCGTGGCTGGCTGGGGGATTCTGGGAGTTGAAGTCCGCCCATCTGCAAGCCGGCCAGCTGAGCCGCAAAACAAACCAACTTGTGGCCGAAGCAAATTCAGGCTGTCGTGCAGTTGCAGGTACAGGAAGTCCTCGACTTACGACCGCAATTGAGCCCCAAACTCCCATCGCTAAGCGAGACGGCTGTTAAGCGAGTTTGGCCCAGTTGACGACCTTTCCTGCCGCTGCCGTTAAGTGAGCCGCTGCAGTTGATAAGCGAGCCACGCGGTCGTTAAGTGAATCCGGCTTCCCCCTCCTTGACTTGACTTGTCAGAAGGTCACCAGAGGGGATCGCGTGACGCCCCCTGGGGCCCTGCGGCCGTTATAAATAGGAGTCAGTCTCTGAATTTTGATCCCGTGACCAGGGGGACGCCGTAACGGTCGTTAAGTGTGAAAAACGCACAAGTCCCTTTTTTCAGTGATGTCGTAACTTGGAACGGTCACTAAGTGAGCTGTTGTAAGTCAGGGACTGCCTGTAGGGGGGCCACAAAAACCCCTCGCCCCCCCCCGACTCCACCAAGCAGCTTGGAGGGCAGAATGAGAGTCCCCATGGAGGGGGGGCTGCTTTGATTCTGCCTCCTAGGTTCTCCCCCCCCCCCCGGTGCCCCACGAAGCCTCAGGGTCTGCCAAGGGAGTTTTCGTCCGTGGGCACCGTTGCCCGGGCCGGGGGGGGGGAACAGGCCGGGCCCTCATTGGAGGGGGGGCGGGGCTGCTGGGTTATGCAATACGCTTGGACTCCCTTCCCTGTTTCCCTAACAATGTCCCATCTCCTCCCGGCGTCCCCCCCCCCTCCCCGGACGGGGACTGGCATAAACAGAGGTGGCAAGTTTACAAAGCTTCCTTTGTGCAGCCCCCCCCACCCCACCCCACCCCCTGCACGCTTTCTGGGCCACATCTGAGCCAAGAACGAAAGGGGGGGGCGGAGAGCGGAGGGTCCCCCCCCCCACCACTTCCGTCCTGAGCGCGGGGGACGGAAGAGAGCGAGCGGGCGCACACGGCTGCTTGGCACGCCTGGCAGGCTGGGCAGCTGAGGCCCCAGTTGCTGGCTGGCTGGCTCTGCTTTCTCCCGAGGTGGGGAAACGGGGCGCGCTCCCCCCTCTGCCCCCCCCCAGCCAATGAGAGTGAATGAGAGGGGGCCGAGAGCCCGGGCACAGAGATGGCTATTTATGCGGAGCCAGGAGCTGGCTGGCCACGCGAGGGTCCGTCGCCTGCCCCATCCAGCGGGAGCTACGCGCATCGCCGGCCTTTTCCCAGCCTGGGCGGCTGGCTGTGCCGGGCCTTTTGCCTGCCGATGGGTCGGGAGGGATCGAGGCTCAGAAGGGCCGGGGGGTGACCAAAGGGCACGACAGGAAAAGGGGAAAGAGAGCTGCTTTTTTGGGGGGGTGCCACCCTCGGGCCCCCCGCGGAGAGCTGGGCGCAGAAGGACAGGCGGGGGAGATGTCTCTGGATCGCCGACGGGCCTCTGTCCGATCCCTGGTGAACGCTTACGAGTCTCGGGGGGAGCCCCCCGGCTGCGGCTGCTGCCTGCTCCCCGATCCGGGGGCCTCCCCTCGCCCCAGGCAGAGGGGCTGCACCTCTCCGGTTTCATCCAGGGAGGCCTCCCCTGCTCGGGGGAGGAAGCCGAAGGAGACCCCGCCAAGCCCCCAGAAGCTGAACGGATGCCAGAAGAAGGAGGCGGACCAGAGATTGGTCTCCCTCCTGCTGGTCCTCCACAGGTAGTAGTGTGGGGGGGGCGTCTGGGCAGGGGGAGGCCTCTGGGCTGCCGGTGGGCAGGAGGGAGAGGGGTCAAGAGAGGGGTCAGGGCCCCCTCCCCCGAGAAGGTTGTTCTGGAGGAAAGGAGCCTTGGGCAAAAACAGGGACTGGCTGTGTTCTCCGCTCATGTAGCTGGTCCATAGTGTGGAATCTTGCGTGGGCTCAGAAGACGGGCAAGCAGGCGTGTGTGAATGCAGCTTCTCGCTTTGGTTAATTGTCTCAGTGATCTCTGCAGCTCCGGGGTGAACTGTGGGGTCCCTGGTGCTCTCTGAGCTGGGTGGTTTCCTTGCAGACGTTTCATGGCCCAACTAGGGAACATCATCAGTGCTAGAAGGGAGGNGAGGAGGAGGAGGAGGAGGAGGAGGAGGAGGAGAACTGTGGGGTCCTTGGTGCTCTCTGAGCTGGGTGGCTTCCTTGCAGACGTTTCATGACCCAACTAGATAACATCCTCAGTACTAGAAGGAAGTGGGGTTTAGGGAGAGGAGGAGGAGGAGGAGGAGGAGGAGGAGGAGGACTTCAGGGTCCCTGGTGCTCTCTGAACTTGGTTCGGGTTTCACCCCCCAAACTGATGATGTTGCCTAGTTGGGTAATGAAATGTCTGCAAGAAAACCAGCCAAGCTCAGAGACCCACAAGGACCCCCTCCCCTTAATGGGTCTTTTCTGCTTCTCTCCCGGGGTGGGGGGAGAGACACGGGGGTCTCAGTCTTAAAAACAACTGAGAAACCCAAAGTGCTTTGGGCTTGTGGGTTACCCCGGTTGATGTATCTCTGGACCCCACTTGGAGAACCGCTGGCTTCACCCATCAGAGCTCTGCAAGCTTAGCCAGGCACACCTGGACCCCTCAGGGGGAGGGGGAGGGAGGAGCCAGGCCAGGTACCCTCCCCGGGAGAGCATTTGAGCTGCTCCTGCACAAACGGAACACCTGGCTGGGCTCAGAGCCTTTTATCCCACCTGGTGGGGCGGGCGTACATTGCTGGGGCCAGAACTGTCTAGGAGGGGGCAGTGCCAGCCCCCCCAGACACACCCTATTCCCATGCCCCTGGCACGGGGGGAGGGCTGCTGAATCTGCTGAGTCCCTACGGCAGTGGGGCACCTACTTCACTGGGGCTTCCAGCCCTTCTGGCTGGAATCCTGCTCTGGCGTTGTGTTCCTCTTTGAGCAGGGGGCTGGACTAGAAGACCTCCACGGTCCCTTCCAACTCTGTTTTTCTCTTTTTGCCTAGTTGGCAGGCCTTGGGGGGGGTCAGTGGAGCTGGCTCTGGGGAGCAGAAGCCCTGTGGGGCGGCAGCAGGACTGCATGGGGAGGGGAGGCTACCGGCCTTACAAGTCCCCTTTTGTGGGGCAACCCGATTCACGGGGGCTTCTCTTTCCCGCAGCGGAACCAACAGCAGCATGATCGCCATCGACAACAAGATTGAACAAGCCATGGTAAGTCCAGAGAGGCGGGGCAGGGATGGCGGCGGCCCTGGTGGACGGGCACGGTCCTCGGCGGGCACGGGCAGGCCGCAAGGTCCGTGATCCAGAGCCAGATCCTGCCCAGGGGGTGCCAGTCCCCAACCCTTGCCAGCCGCCAGATCCACTTCTCGGATGACATTTCTGGACGTGTCTCCGGAGATTCTCTGCCCTCCAGGTTGTCCCAAAGGCAGCCGGACATCTTTGCTTTTTCTTGGCAAAGAAAATGTGTTTTTTTTTTCCTTCGAAAACGTTTCGCTGCTTCTCGCATGAGAAGAAGCGAAACGTTTCCGAAGCAAAATCAAGGAAGTCTTCTGAAAAGGCCCTTTGGGGTTTCCAGATGTGCTTGCCCTGGTTTTTATATGCCTGGGCAAGTCCCAGAAACAGCCACCCATCCCCTCCGATCGGTTGGCAGCCGGCAGGCCCTTCGTACAGGCTCGGAGACGCTCAGAAGCTGCCGGGATCTGCCAGAGGCCAAAGTTGCTTCCAGTGGCAACATGCCCTGTTCGTCATTCTCGCCAGGCAGGGGTAGGCGACCTTGGCTCTTTTATGACTGGTGGACTTCAACTCCCAGAATTCCTGAGCCAGCATGGGGGAACTATGGCCCCCCTCATGACTCGTGGACTTCAAGTCCCAGAATTCCTCAGCCAGCATGGGGGAACTATGGCTCCCTTGATGACTCGTGGACTTCAACTCCCAGAATTCCTCAGCCAGCGTGAGGGAACTATGGCCCCCCTCATGACTGGTGGACTTCAACTCCCAGAATTCCTGAGCCAGCATGAGGGAACTATGGCCCCCCTCATGACTGGTGGACTTCAACTCCCAGAATTCCTCAGCCAGCATGGGGGAACTATGGCCCCCTCATGACTCGTGGACTTCAACTCCCAGAATTCCTCAGCCAGCATGGGGGAACTATGGCCCCCTCATGATTGGTGGACTTCAACTCCCAGAATTCCTGAGCCAGCATGGGGGAACTATGGCCCCCTCATGACTCGTGGACTTCAACTCCCAGAATTCCTGAGCCATAGCTCAGCTTGGAAACCTCTCCCTTTCCCCTCAGCATTGCTGGCTCAGGAATTCTGGGAGTTGAAGTCCACCAGTCATGAAGGGATCATAGTTCCCCCATGCTGGCTGAGGAATTCTGGGAGTTGAAGTCCACGAGTCATGAGGGGGCCATAGTTCCCCCATGCTGGCTGAGGAATTATGGGAGTTGAAGTCCACCAGTCATAAAAGAGCCAAGGTCGCCTACCCCTGCGCTAGCGTGACCTCCGAGACCTGCTAGGAAGCGTTTACAGATGGGCGTCAGGGACTCTGCGGTCACACCGTGGCTAACAGTCCGACCTTATCAAGCGGGCCAGGTTCAGCCTTGGTGGGAGCTGCACCCTTTCGGCCCCTCCTCAGTAAAACCACAACGCAAAGGACCCCTTTTGCTGTGGAACCAGGATCACGGGAAGTGTCAATACCCCTTTACAAGGGGTACCCTTGGAATACGGCATCCAGTTCTGGTCACCACGATGTAAAAAAAGATGTGGAGACTCTGGAAAGAGGGCAGAGAAGAGCCACAAAGACGGTTAGAGGACTGGAGGCTAAAACATATAAGGGACGGTTGCAGGAATTGGGTCTGTCTAGTAGTTTAACGAAGAGAAGAATGAGATGGGGGGGCATGATAGCAGTGTTCCAATATTTGTGGGGCTGCCAGAAAGAAGAGGGGGTCCCCCTATTCTCCAAAGCCCCTGAAGGGGCTTTTTAAGAAGAAACTGGACAGCCATTTGTCCGAGATGGTATAGGGTTACCTGCCTGAGCAGGGGGTTGGACTTGATGACCTCCAAGGTCCCTTCCAACTTTATTGTTGTTATTATTATAAGGAGCAAAGCGTGGGAACTAATCAAGGAGAGAAGGAACCTAGAACTCAGGAGGGATTTCCTGGCAGTGAGGACAATTAATCGGTGGAACTCCTTGCCTCCAGAAGTTGTGGGTTATATTAATAATAATAATAAAGTTGGAAGGGACCCTGGAGGTCATCTAGTCCAACCCCCTGCTCAGGCAGGAAACCCTACACAATTTCAGACAAAGGGCTGTCCCAGTCTCTTCTTAAAAACTTCCAGTGTTGGAGAAGGGAGGGAGGGAGGGAGGGAGGGAGGGAAGAAAGGAAGGAAGGAAAGGAAGGAAGGAAGGAAAAAGAATAACAGAATAACAGACTTGGAAGGGACCTTGGAGGTCATCTAGTCCAACCCCCTGCTCAGGCAGGAAACCCTATACCATTTCAGACAAATGGCTTCTTAAAGACTTCCAGTGTTGGAGCATTCCCCGCTTCTGGAGGCAGGTGGTTCCACTGGTTAATTGTTCTCACTGTCAGGAAGTTTCTCCTTAGTTCTAGGTTGCTTCTCTCCTTGGTTAGTTTCCATCCGTTGCTTCTTGTCCAAAACGGGACACCCGTTTGTCTGAAAGGGCCTAGGGTTTCCGGCCTGAGCAGTGGGTTAGACTAGAAGACCATTGAGGTCCCTCCCAATTCTGTGATTCTGGATCTGGGAGAGGCTGGGTCGCAGAGGTGGCCTGCCAGTGCGGTGGTGGGGAAGGGCCGGCGTCCTGGGGTGCGGAGGACCCTCACAGCTCCTGCCTCTGCTTCCTCAGGACCTGGTCAAGAGCCACTTGATGTTCGCCGTGCGGGAAGAGGTGGAAGTGCTGCGGGAGCAGATCAAAGAACTGTCCGAGCGCAACGCTGCCCTGGAGCAGGAGAACAGCCTTCTGCGCTCCCTCGCCAACGCCGAGCAGACCGGCCACTTTCTGGCTCAGCTCCACGAAAACAAGCCATCGTCCAGCGGCTCCGCGTGACCCTGGACGGACAGATGGACAGATGGACGGAGGGAGGGCCAGAGAGCTGCTGACACGGACGCCTGATGGGAGGATGCTTCCCATGGAGTCCCGCCGATGTGAACCTGCCTGTTTGGGGGCGGGGAGGGGGAGGTTGTGCACGCGTGTGCATGTGCGTTTGTGAAACCAGCCTTTGGGGTGGGGAACTGGGCTACTAACCCAGCATGTGCCTTCGGGGGGGTGCAATTTTGCCCCCCCTCCTGCTCTCAAAGGAGCAGGATACGTTTCGTAGCAGGGGAGAGAGGTCCAGAGAGGGGTGGATTGGCGAGGAAACCCACCCTCGGACTGGGGGTGTGTGTCCCTCCCTGGCGGGGCTTTTCCTCCCCTAACCTGGGGGGGAGAACGCCCCATTTGCCCCCCTCCTTCAGACCGATGGGGGAGGGGGCTTTTTTTTAAAGGTACTACAGACGTGGTTTGAAATTGGGGTGAAGAGCGGAGGTCCGGAGCTGGCAATACTTTTAATATCGAGAGCACTTTTGCAGTATTTCAGGTTATTAAAGTACCTAGCTGTTCAAGTCGCTCGCTGTGTTGTGGGGTGATCTGTGGGGCGTTCCGTAAAGAAGCGGCGGTCCCGTTGAGGAGGGGGGCTTTGCCAGCCCCTGCCTCGGACTGCGGAGCAAAATGTCTATTGTGGTGATGCTCCGTCCTCCAGGGTCTTGTTTGCCCCCCAAGGGGGCTTTTTCCAAAAGGCAACTGAACTTCCTTGTTGTTGTTTTTTGGTTTTCTCTGAAAACGTTTTGCTTCTCGTGACCTTCCTGGATGAGAAATGTTTTCGGAAAAATAAACCCCAGAAAAGTCCAGCTTCCTTTTGGAAAAAGCCCCCTTGGGACATGCTATGGAAGATGCAGCCCCCCCCAAGTCCAGCCCACCCCCCCCATGGATGATCAAAGAGCTGCCGCAGAGGAGACATTGCACCCTCTTGGTGTGTGTCCTCCCCCTTCCCCCCCGCCCGCCGTAGTGAATTGCTCCCAAGCACAATCCGTCCCCGTCCCCTTGTTTTGACCCCAAGGCAGCGGCTGAATCCCAGGCCTGGTGAAACACAGCCATTGTCCCTCGGCCGAAGCACGTGGCGGCCGGCCGAGCAGGAGGGTGGGCCAAACAGCTGGAGGAGTGCGGCACGTGGACGCCTGCCCGCAACCAGCAGGGCAGGGTGACAAGGGCATTGTTGTCCGCTGTGCCCGCCCTCCCTCGTCCTCCCTCCCGGGATCGCGGTGTTCCCAGGGCAGAGAGAAACAAGGCCACCACCGTCTTTGCCCAGCGGAAAGGGCCGGCTGGGGTGTCCGGGCTCAGGCCAGGATGGGGCAAGCCTCCCTCCCTCCCTCCCACCGAGCGAAAAGCTGGTTGGCAACCTCACACCCAGACCCCCCCAACCCGATCCAGCGTTCCTTTGCCAAGGTGGCCCTCCCGGTCTGCAAGAGCGAAGATGGTGGGCCTTGCCAGACGGTGAGGGCAACCCACGGAGGCTTCCAATGGCCACTTGCTACAGCCAGAGACACTAGAGGGAGGCTCCCCTGCGTGGCTGACCCAAGGATGAGGAGGTCAGCACCAAGCCCTGGGCCACAGACCCCCTCTGGGGGACGGGGCCAATTCCAGCCTGTGAATGGGTGCGCACGGACAGGAAGAAGGCTGTAGCTGGGGCTCCCCTATGGCACCCCCCGCCCCAATCCTTGGCCCCTTCCCCGGCGTGCTTCAGTGTGACAATGGCCCTGTTGGTCCACGGAAGCTTCAGACTATGGTATCCCTGGCAACCGGTTCCCTAGCAACCAGTCTCTCCAGCACATCCCCTGGGAAAACCATGCCACTGTGCTGGCTCTCCCTGCTCTTCCTGGCATGGCTGTCTGCCAGCCGGGCCCAGCTGAAGCGGCAGAGAGTTGGTGAACTGGAGCCGGCTCCGGGGGGCATGCAGGGGTCTGCCTGCTCCTTCGGAGGCGGCCCACGGGGGGACGGCGGCCCCACACAGGAGCCCTTTGTGCTGCTGCCCTGGGCTCTGCTCCTGGCCCTGTCGGGGTCCTTCGTGATTTACCTCCTGTTTGCCAAAGAGAAGGGGGTGAGCAGCTCGGGGCCCCCTTCCTCCCTCACGCCATCAGGAAGCCCCCCCTCTCTTCTGCACACCTGCCTCCCCGCTGTGGACCTGCATCCCTCTGGGATCCACACGTGGTCTGGGCACAGCGTCCGTTCCCCCGGCTAAGAGAGATTGTCCAGTGCTTTTGTTTGGGTTTTACCCGAGGCAGGCTGGCAGGATGGACGGGTCCTCTGTTCTAAGAGAGGGCTTGATCCTGGGACCTCTGCCCCCCTCCCCAATTTACGGGGTACCACAAGGAGTCCAGATGGCAGCTCTCCTGTGGCCGATCTTGAGATCAGACCGGCTGGGAAGGGTGGACACAGGCCCAGCCAGGTTCCCGCAGCCCAGCGCATCAGATGCCTTTTGTGAGGACCACCCCAGCATTTCCCCCAGAGGACCCTCCTGATCAGGACAAGCCCCCCACCTCCCACAGCCCCTCTCTGCCCCCTTCCCAGCATTAATGATGCATCTGAAAGTCTACGGGGATTCTCAACCCTCCTGGATCAGGTGTTTTTTGAAAAGGCAATTGGACTGGACTTGTTTTCTTCGAAAAAGTTTTGCTTCTCATCCCAGAAGAACTGAATTGAAGAAGCTTCTGGGATGAGAAGGGATGGGAAGAAAAAACCTCCGTTGCCTCAGTCCTGTGACTGGGGACCAGCCAAGCACAGCCTGTGGGAAGCAGCCTGTGGAGGGGGGGAAACGGTGGAAGGGGGTCAGCAGGGCCGGTGTGAACCCAGGGGGTGCCCAAATCAGCCCCTTCTCAGCTGCAGGGGTCTCTGCAGGGACTTCTGGGGTGAGAAAATGGAATGCCGCCACTCTCTACCCCAGGGGTCTTCTAACTTGGCCCTTTGATGACCTGTGGACTTCAACTCCCAGAATTCCTCAGCCAGGCACACGTGCCTGGCTGAGGAATTCTGGGAGTTGAAGTCCACAAGTCATCAAAGGGCCAAGTTAGAAGACCCCTGCTTGTGGACTTCAACTCCCAGAATTCCTCAGTCAGGCACACTGGCTGAGGAATTCTGGGAGTTGAAGTCCACAAGTCATCAAAGGGTTAAGTTTGAAGACCAACTCCCAGAATTCCTCAGCTTGGCACACTGGCTGAGGAATTCTGGGAACTGAAGTCCACAAGTCATCAAAGGGCCAAGTTAGAAGACCCCTGCTTGTGGACTTCAACTCCCAGAATTCCTCAGCTTGGCACACTGGCTGAGGAATTCTGGGAATTGAAGTCCACCAGTCATCAAAGGGCCACGTTGGAAGACCCCTGCTCTACCCAAACCTCGTCTCCCCCGTTTCAGGAGAGTGCCTTGGCAGTGAGAGACCGAGTTTGGCCCCTGGCACAAATTTCATCTTGGTTGAAAGACCGGAGTCTCCTGTCCCTCTTCGGAGACACCCCAGAGGTACGCCCTTCGCTTTATTAACCACCCCCCACATTCCAGAGCCGAGCCCTTCAATTTCCCTAGAGGGGGGAGCTCTTTATCCCGGGGCACCTGGCGGTGGGGGCCACGGCTGCCATTCCCCCTGCAGGTTGAAGATGGGGACCCCGACGCCCAGCTGGAGGAGACGCTGCTGCGCGATGTCTCCGGAGTGCTTCACATCATCCGGTTGCGGCTGTGGAAAATTGTGCGAGACCGACGGAAGCACCAGCAGCAGCAGCAGCTGCACGAAAGCCACTGAGGGGCAGGACGGACGCGGCCCCGTGGCTTGAGAAGGAGGCACCTCTGCTCCGGATAAAAGTTATGCTGATAGGGAATAAAGAGGAATGGATGGAAAGGGACCCCTCTTTGTCTGTGTGTTTGTTTGTGTGTGTGTGCAAAAAGCTGGGACTAGCCTCCACCTGCTGCTCCCCTCCAGATGCCAGCGATCCACTCCGCACACACAGGACATCCCCGTGGGTGCCAAGAGCCGAACCCAGGGCCAGCCTGATTACAGGTTGCTGAAAGATGCCTCTGTCTGCAGTCTGCCTTCATTTCCTCTACAGTAGCCGGTGGTCGTCGTCCTCGTCGTCGTCGTCCTCCTCCTCGGATTTCAAAACACTCCGGAGATTGTCTCCACTGTGCCCTTTGTCACTGCTCTGGGGCCTTTCCGAGGGAGCCCTGCCTGTGCCCTCTTCCCTTCCAAAGACGGGCCCAGTGGGAAGAGAAAGGCTGGGTTTGGGCTGCAGAGCCCCCAACTAAACCCCAGCACTGCGGGTCGGGTGGGGTGGGGGAAGAGTGCAACCAAAGCAATTATTTCCCAAACCAAACTTTATTTAAACCAGGGGTCTTCAAACGTGGCCCTTTGATGACTTGTGGACTTCAACTCCCAGAATTCCGTGCCTGGCTGAGGAATTCTGGGAGTTGAAGTCCACAAGTCATCAAAGGGCCACGTTTGAAGACCCCTGTTATAGATAGATAGACTTCGACTCCCATTACTTCCCAGCCGGGGAGGGGGGGAAGGTTGTGCTGGGCCTTTGGGATCTTTGAATTGTACGTCCATTGTGGCCCTCTTAGAATCCCTTCCTCTGCAATCTCTCCGCCCTGGTGGGAAGAATTAAAAAAAAGACGGGCATGGCTGGCTGGGGAGTTTTAGAAGTCCACCCATCTTCAAGTGGCCGAGGTTCAGAAACATGGCTTTAGATCGGGGGGGGGGGAGTCTTCCAACTTGGCCCTTTGATGACTTGTGGACTTCAACTCCCAGAATCCCACGAGTTGAAGTCCACGAGTCCTAAAGGGAGCCAAGTTTGCCTACCCCTGCCCGAAACGAATGGGTCTATATAAGGACGGCCTGCATGTTCCCTTCACAGAAGCTTCCCCAGACAGAGCCAGGGAAGTTGCGAAGGTGTGGCTGTGTTATCTCCTTCTCCTGGCAGGCTCCCTCATGCAGAGGCAACGCCAAGTCTTCCCGGCCCCTCCAGCGCCAGGCAGCCACAAGCGCTG